CCCCGCTCCCGATCCCGGCGCAGCTGTTCACACCAAACCCAGGTAGGCAGTGCGGCGGCACGTCTGCTCAGCCACCGCTGACCTCTGACTCCCTGAGAGCCGCTATCCTTCCTGTCCCGGAGAGGAGAGCCCGCGGGTGCAGAGGGCCTCGTCCCCTCCCTCCGCGCCTGCCTTCCCTCCCTCCCTCCTCCCCTCCCTCCCTCCTCACCTGCCCTCCCTCCTCACATTCTTTCCTTCTGAGAGTGCATGCATGCGGGTGGGCGGACACGGCCGGCCGCTGGGATGTGGCAGCCCCTCCCTGCTGTCTCTTGCACAGATGCAGAGGGAGTCCTGCCCGCAGAAGGGTCTGGCAGGGAAGGGCAGGCGCTAGCTGGGGGTTCAGCCCTTCCAGAACCTTCCTCGGAACCCCAGGTGAGCAGGCACAGCGGGACAGGGCGGGCGCCATGGGGGTTTGCCTCCTCCCTGGCCAGCAGCGGCTCTCGATCTTCTGTGGGCCGTGTCCATGGCGACTGTTCAGGGGGCTCCCTCGCTGTCACCCACGTGTGGTGTGCCCGCTGTCTCACTGAGGCCCGGCAGGAGAGAGGTGCTTAGCGGTTAGAACTGGATGTGAAGCGAGCGGAGTGGCTCCGAGTGTGCGCTCTGAGGGACCAGCCGGTGCCGCCCCGGGTCCCCTCAGTCGGCTGTGTGAGGCGGACCCCCTCCCCAGGCCTCAGCTTCCCGCTCTGAGAAACGGGCCCAGATGGCCCCCGGTCACAGGCGCGGCGGGGGCATGGTGTCTGGTGCACGCTCAGCGGTTCTCTGCTCCGCCTCGCCGAGGAGCCCTCCGTGGAGCGGCAGGCTGGCCTGGGCCCAGGGAGGCTCGCTCGCTGGACGCTGGTAGTTGCTGCATCTCCCGTCCTTCCCGGCAGGTTGTGAGCTCGGCAGCCTCGCTCCCTGCTTCTGAACCGGCCCCCTGCCCACTGGATGGTCCCCAGGGGGGAGAGGTAAGGGGCCCAGAGTCCGCCCGGCCGGGCCAGGTAGCTCGTTCTCACGGCAGCGCTTCCCCCTGGAAGATGAGTGTTAGCGGGCAGACAGCAGGCTGAGCGCTTTCCCGGCTTGAAGAGCTGCTGTGCCCTTCGACAGCGCACTGCTGGGAGCAGAGTCCTTGGGGGGGTGAGGTCACACCCCACGCTCTGCCCGCAGCCTGGCATGCCGATCCTGCATTCCTCAGGCCTTGCAGTCGGCGGCTGTGGCCGAGGCCTGGACGGACCTGGGCGTTCACGGCTGCGCGGCTCTCCGGCCTCCCTCGGGGGCTCTCGTGACCGTGTGTTCTCGGTTTTGTAGCTTTCGCGCTGTAGCTCCCTGAGCTCCCTGTCCCGAGAAGTGAGCCAGCACTTCCAGCAGGTACCCGCGCGGCGGCCCCTCTGCTCCTCCGGGCGCTGTGCTGGCGCTCGCGGCGGCGCCCGCGTCCCCTTCCCACAGCGGCGCCGCGAGCGGCCCCGGCGTGCTGGGCTGGGCCTGTAACTGCTCTCTGAATTGGCTGTTTCCAAACGGCCGGCCTTGGGTGTGGCCGCGGGCGGCGTGGCCTGGCTGTGAGCGGTCGGTAAGCCAGGGTAGGTGCCCTCATCTGGAAGGGAGAATCCTTTCTGCTCCAGCACAGGCAGGCCCTCGCTCAGCCGGCTAGTGTGCTGGCAGCGGCGGTCCCGTGGCCGTTGCTGGGCAGGAAAGGAACGCTGCATCTTCCTGTCGCGTGGACCAGGCTTTTCCCTGGGACTGGCCGAAGGCATCACGTGGCCTTCAGTCTGCGTGTCACCCACTGGCTCCACGCTGGACATAGACCTGCAGTAGCTGCGTGCCTGCTGGCTGCCCACCGCTCTAACCTGCGCGGCGCCCTCTGCATGCGCTTTGTGGCTCACCCACAAGCTGGCTGGCTGTGGCTGTGGTGTCTCTTGTTGAGCTGCGCTCTCTGTGGTTCTCAGGCTCCCAGCGACCACCCCCCGGCAGAGGCGCCCTCAGCGGCATCCGTGCCCTTCTACAACCCGGCGCAGTTCGCACAGGTAAGCTGTGCGGCCTCCTGGGCGGAGCGGGAGCCGGGCGCCGGCTCGGCCACGGCCTCGGTCCTGCCACTCCTGCCGCCTGCCCACTGCTGGCCCCTGGCGGGCCGTGATCCGCCACCTGCTGGCCGTGCCCTCCCACCGGGGTGTTCTTTTTCCTTTTTAACACGTTGCTTTGATTTCAGAGAGGAAGGGGGTTCTTGACTCTCCTGCTTCCCTCCCTCCCGGCTCTTGTCTGTACAGCACAGGCTGGCTGGGGGGCAGAGCTCTGGGCATTGAGAAGGGAAACCTCACCTGCGCCTGGTGCACACCCTCCTCCGTCCTCTGAGCCCGGCCGCTGCCCAGCTTCCCCCGCCCTGCTGTTCCCCTCCCCCTCCCAGGGCCCAGGCCTGTCCCCGCCTGGAACCGTCTGTTTTCACTTCAGGATTGGGTGGTAGGTTCCCCCTCCTCCCCACGACCTTAATCTTGCAGCTCATGCCTCTGCAGGAGCCCGCAGCTGCATGTCGGGCAGGTTTGTGAGGGAGCACGTTGGTGCCTGCCCTTCTCTGCAGATGCTCAGCCCGTGGTATTGGCTCCCTCTGAGCCCGAACCAGCTCCTGCACCTTAAAGAGAATCCCAAGACCTGACACTGATGTGGCAGTGGTCGTGGCTGTGAAAAGGGACAGAGCAGATCTGCCCTTTGTCAGTGCTGTGTCTGGCCTGGGTAACAGGCCCACGTTGCAGCTGAGCCCTCGGAGGGTCCCCCCTGGGGCGGGGCGGGCAGAGTCAGTGCTGCTCCCATCGTTTCAGGCCTCGGCCACCTCGGGAAGCGCCAGGCCGGGGAGGATTGGCCAGAGGAAGTACCCAGTGCTGAGGTAGACCGGACCCCGCTGTCGGCACCTGGCACCTGAGACGGCTCTCCACCGGCCCTCGGCTGACCGCCCTGGCCTCCCTCTGTGCCCGATGGACACGCCGCAGAGCCACGTGCTCACACCTCCTGTGGGCAGAGCTGCCATCACCACAGCTCCAAGATCCGAGGACAGGAGGGCCTTCGGCTCCACTCCTCACCCAGGAACAAGCTCAGGATGAGCCTTGTCACAGGAAGGTCGCGCTGAGCAGCCAGGACGCCCTTTGCTGCCGGGAGCTGAGCTGCAGTGGCCTGATGGGAGACGCAGGAGAGCGGGTCGGCCTGAGCAACACCGATGCCAGCGTTGGGCCCTGCGGCCCCTCCCGCCCCGGTGCCCCAGCCCCGAACAGCAGCCGCTGGCGGGCGTGTTCTTCCCCAACCTCAGAGGGAGGCGGCGGCACCGCAGCTGTGCCAACAGGCTGAGACGTGTGGTTAGCGTGGTGCCCTCCCCCGCAGCCAGGGCCTGTGTGTGGCCCGTCAGGACCACGAGGGAGACAGCGGCCTGTGTTCCGTGTGGCTGGCCCTGGCTCCGTGAGCACCTGCCGGGCTCCGGCAGAGCAGCGTGTGGTGCCACACTCGCCCTCCACCGCCTGCTCCTCACCTGGCTGGCGTGCTGGCGACATCTTGAAGAAAGTGGCTTCGAATAATTTGACAGAAGCTCCTGAAGCTGCTATTTGTGCCCCGGTTTTTCCCACAGCCCTGTGGGCTGACTCCGTGCGGACCTGCACAGGGACCTCCTCCCACTGCCTCCAGCTTCACCTTCGCCGACGGTTCTGACCATCACGTCTCGTGAGGCCCAAAGGGACTGAGGACAGGCTATTTATAAAATCACTAGGAACTAGTTTCTGTGGTTCTGCTTGGCATTTTAATCCTGGAGGGTCATGGGATGTGGCCTGGCACAGGTCCTCCTCGCCTCTTCCTGGCCACGAGACGGCCTGGGAGCCCACAGACCTATGTGATGGGACCCGTGTCCTTCCGCTGGGAAAGGCCCCCCTCGCTAGGGTCCTGCTGTCCCTGTCAAGGGGGGGTGGGCTCCTGGGGCCGCTCCAGCCCCTGTCCTGTTAGTGACTTGATTCAGGAAGCCCCAGGGGCCGTTATTTTTCCTAAATGCACATTGTTACACTGCAGATTGTTAATAAAGTATTTTGCGCTCTGAGCGCGCACCTGCTGCTGTCGCTGGTGGAGTCGTCCTGGCCTGGGTGTTCCTGTTCCCCTTCGGTTCTGCAGCGGCCATGGTGCCGGGGTGCCTCCACCCACGCGTGTGGCGGTGACCCCAGTGGGTGGGCAGGTTGCTCTGACCCCATCCCGCCACCAGGGCGTGGGGACGGCATGCGGAGGGAGGAAAGCCGCGGGTGGGCGTCCTCCGGCCGCCAGGGGCCGCTGCAGGCGCCGGCTCTGCTCGGGGCGCTCTGCCCGCGGGTGGCGGCGAGCGGCTGCCGAGGCTGCGGGGCCGGAGCGGGCGGCGCCGAGAGGTGCGCGCGGAGTGCGGGCGCGGGCTCGCCGGGCCGGCGCCGGGGCCGGGGCGCAGGTCCCGCACGGGGTGGGGGAGTGGGCGGGGCGACCCGAGTGGGGCGCGGGGTCCCGGCGGGTCACGGTCCGGGCGGAGCAGCCTCGGGCGCGAGGGGCCGGAGGGAGGGTCCTGCGCGGGCGGCCGGCGCGTGCGCCCCGGCTCCGCCCCCAGCTCCGCGGTCGTTGCCGGGAGCCGCCGCGGATCGAGGCCGGGCCTTTGGCGGCGGCGCCCGCAGAGCTGCCGGGTCGCGGGCGCTCGGGGCGGGGTCTGCGCGGCGGGCGGCCCCTCCGGGCTGCGCGGCGGCCTTGGCCTTGGCCGCGGGCGTTCTTCCCGGCGGTGCCCCCGGGCCCGTGAGGAGCAGCCCCAGCGGGCATCCGCCCCCAGGAGGCCGCCGCCGGCCTGTCCCCCGCCCCCGGCTGAGCCCCCGAACCTCCATCCCCGCTGCAGGAGCGGCTTCCCTCAGCGCCCCGCGGGGTGCGGGCCCCCGGGACTGGAGGCCCCGCCGCCCCGGGCCCCGCCCCCGCCCCCGGCCCGCGCAGCACCTCTCCCAGGACCTCCGCCTGCGCGCCCCTGACCGGGCTCCGCGCCCCTGACCCGGCTCCGCGCCCCTGACCGGCACCGGGCAGCCGGGAGAGCGCTCCGGATCGGCGTGGCCGCCATCGTGCTGCGGGCTGGCCCTGGACTATGCCCTCCAAGGCGGCCTGCCTGGGGCGCTCAGAGGCGGGCCCCCCACAGCCGGACGGCGGGATGCTCAAGGGGCACCTTGTGGACTCGGAGGGGGGCCTGGCCCCCCTCCCCGGCTCCCCGGCCGCTGACCGCGCTGGCGCCGAGAAGAGCCCGGCGGGCCCTCTGGACGTGCCAGCCAAAGGCGGCCCCGAGGACCCCCAGGCCAAGGCCAAGGCCTTCACCCCGAGGCCGCCTCTGAGGCCGCGGCTGGAGCGCGCCCTGTCCCTGGACGAGAAGGGCTGGCGGCGGCGGCGGCGGCTCCCGAGCAGCCAGGAGGACCTGGCCTCCGGCAACGGGGCCGGCCCCCCCGGGGGCTCCTCGCAGGACCCCGTCCCCCCCGGCCTGAGCACCTCCCTGCAGGACATCCCCCAGGGCCCCTGGACTCCGGGCAGTGGCGGCGGGAGCCCCTCCTCCTGGGGCGCCTCCCGGGACCTCCTGCCCCGGCTGGCCGGCGGGCTCCCCTCGCGCCCGCTGCCCGCCATGGAGGGGAGCGTGGCCTCGGACGCCCTGCGGACGGCCCACAAGGTGGACACGGACCACGCCGAGTACAAGCTCCGTGCGCAGAGCCGGCTGCTCCGGGCCCACAGCAGCCTGGGCCCCGGCCGGCCGCCCAGCCCCCTGGCCTCCGAGGACGGCTCCCTGCGCTCCGCCAGGTCCACCTTCAGCCTCCTGGCGCCCCTCCGGGCCAAGGACGTGCGCAGCAGGTGGGCCTGGGCCTGGGCCTGGGGGGCCGGCTTGGCATCCGCGGCCTTTATCGGCGTCAGAGGACCGCAAGCTTCTCCTTAAAGGATGTCTGGTCCCCCCGTCCTTCCCGGGCGACTCTCCTGCCCCCGCCGGCGGAGGGAGGGGCCCAGGGCCCGGCGGCAGGCGGCCGGCGTCCTGCTCCGGCTCCCCCAGGGCCCTGGCTTCTCTGTTGTCCGGGGCCCAGTTTGCTGAGCGCCCGCTCCCCGGTGGGGAGGCCTGGCACCACGGCGCCTGGGCTTTACCACGGAACCCGCGCCGACGTTTTAAAAGATACGTATGTTTTATTCATGTTTTACAGAGGAAGGGAGAGGGAGAGAGTTAGGAACGTCAGTGAGAGAGAAACATGCATCAGCTGCCTCCTGCTCACCCCCACCTGGAGATGTGCCCAGGCCAAGGTGCATGCCTTGACCTAAATCTGGTTGTTTGAAGCACAATCCTGCATGGCCCTGACTGGGGGGTGGGAGGGGGGCATCTGCTCGGACCCGAGCTCAGTCTGTCCTCTGTAGGAGCTACCTGGCGGGGAGCCTGCTGGGGAGCGGGGCCCTGATGGGGGCGGAGGAGCTGGCCCGGTACTTCCCCGACCGCACGGTTGCCCTCTTCGTGGCCACGTGGAACATGCAGGGCCAGAAGGTGAGCAGGTGCCCACGGGTCTCGGGAGGCGCTGGGTTCCTGCCTGTTCCTCCCGGCTGAGCCACACCCAGCGACCCTCCCGCCTGCCGTCTATCTCCCCCCCCCCCCCCCCCCCGCTTTAGTGACTGGGGCCCCGGCAACCCCCCCTCCCCACGTTGAACCCAGTGGCTCGGGTCACCAGGAGCCCAGGGCCTCCCTTGGGGGCACTCCTGTTGGCTCACGGGGCCCAGGCTGGCAGCCCCGCGTCCTCAGGAGCCCCCTCCCGTCCACAGGGGTCCCCCGTCCTGGGCCTGCGGGGCTGAGGGGCAGCCAGGGGCGGGGCGGCCGCAGGGTGGAGTGGCCCACTGAGCCGAGCTGCACCTCCTGCCAGGGCCCCCGCCTGGGTGTGCATGGGGGGCACTCACTGAGGGGCCGGCTCAGGGCCAGACAGGCTGGGGGCACAGCCCGGGAGCGAGCAGGTGCAAACCCGGCCGCAGCCATGACAGGCTGGCGGGGAGGCGGGTCCTGGGCGGAGCCGGAGCCCTGGGAGCCTCCGCCCCCGGCCCCTCGCTAGGCGCTGCCTCCCCTCAGGAGCTGCCTGTGAACCTGGATGAGCTTCTGCTGCCCCCCGAGGCCGACTACGCCCAGGACCTGTACGTGGTCGGGGTGCAGGAGGGCTGCTCCGACAGGTAGGGCCCCGCCCCATGTGCCCCGAGCCTGGCACCCCGTTCTGTCCCTGTGAACAGCACTGCTGAGGGGGGCCGTGGGAAGAGGTTCTGTGACCGGAGGCCCCACGCCGAGCACACAGACGGTCCCTAAAACGGGGGTGTTTTCCTTCCTCTGAGCACAAGCTGGTCTCCGGCTGCAAGTGCGGCGGAGAGCAGGCCCCGCGTGGCGTCCCATCACCCTGGGGCCCGGGCGCATCCCAGCCTCTGTCTGCTGCCACCCTCACACGGTGGACGGTCACCTGGAGGAGGTGGGGGATGAGGAGGGCGGACCTTGGGACCCGGGCCACGTCCCCGGAGCCCTGAGAGGCATCAGCTCCTCGGTGTCCGGAGCCCCCGCCTCTGGCCCGGCAGACCCGGACCCCTGGTGCTGCCCATCCCACCCCCACCCCCCACCCCCCCTCCTCAAAAGACAAGGAGCCCCGCCTCCAGCGCCCGGGGCGCTGTCCCCGCAGGCGGGAGTGGGAGACGCGGCTGCAGGAGACGCTGGGCCCGCACTACGTGATGCTGCACTCGGCGGCCCATGGGGCGCTGCACCTGTCCCTGCTCATCCGCCGTGACCTAATCTGGTTCTGCTCAGGTAGCCCGCCCGCTGCCCGCCGCCCACCGCCCACTGCCCTCGCCCCAACCCGCTGCTGCCCACCGCCCTGACGCTGCCCACTGCCCTGACACCGCCCACTGCCCTCGCCCCAACCCGCTGCTGCCCACCGCCCTGACACCGCCCACCACCCTGACACCGCCCGCTGCCCACTGCCCTCGCCCCAACCCGCTGCTGCCCACCGCCCTGACACTGCCCACTGCCCTCGCCCCAACCCACTGCTGCCCACCGCCCTGACGCTGCCCGCTGCCCACTGCCCTCGCCCCGTCCCCGCTGCCCCCGTCCGTCCGGGGTCAGCTCGCCGGGCCATGGGCGCCGCTGAGCTCCCCCCCCCCCACAGAGGTGGAGAGCTCCACGGTGACCACCCGCATCGTGTCCCAGATCAAGACCAAGGGGGCGCTGGGCGTTGGCTTCACCTTCTTCGGCACCTCCCTCCTCTTCATCACGTCCCATTTCACCTGTGAGTGCCCCCCCGGCCCAGGGGGCGGGGTGCCGGGTCCCTCTGTGCGGCCTCCGCCCGTCGGACCCCACGTGGGCCCTGAGCCAGCCCTGCCCCTCGGGGCTCCCCCTGTCCCCGCAGCCGGGGACGGGAAGGTGGGCGAGAGGCTGCTGGACTACAGCAAGACCATCCAGGGCCTGGCGCTGCCCAAGAACGTGCCGGACACCTGCCCCTACCGCTCGGACGCAGGTGAGGGGCCCGCGTGCTCCGGGGAGGGGCGGGCCGGATGGACGGGCCGGGACGCGGACCAGGCCTGTCCCCTGCGCGGCTGCGCGTGGGGAAGGCTGGCTCACGGCTCTCCGGCCTCTGCCCAGCGGACGTCACCACCCGCTTTGACGGCGTCTTCTGGTTCGGCGACTTCAACTTCCGCCTGAGTGGCGGCCGCATGCCCGTGGAGGCCATCCTGAGGCAGGACCCGGGCGCCCGCGTGCCCGCCCTGCTGCAGCTGGACCAGCTCGCCCGGGAGAGGCAGAGGGGTGCGGCCGGGCGGGGAGGGGAGTGACCGGGAGGGGGAGGGGAGGCCGGAGGGGGGGAGGGGTGGCGGGGAGGGGAGGCCTGAGTGGGGGAGGGGGTGACGGGGAGGGGTGGCCGGGAGGGGAGGTCTGAGTGGGGAAGGGGGTGACCGGGAGGGGAGGCCGGAGGGGGGGAGGGGGTGACCAGGACGGGGAGGACAGGGAGGGCCGGCCGGAGCTCCACGCCAGGCCTGAGCCGTGCCTGTGCCTGTGCCTGTGCCCGCCCCAGGGTCCATCTTCAAGGGCTTCCAGGAGCCAGACATCCACTTCCTGCCGTCGTACAAGTTCGACATCGGGAAGGACTCTTACGACACCTCGTCCAAGCAGAGGACCCCGTCCTACACGGTGAGCGTGAGCAGCAGCGCCCCGGGCTGGGGCCTCGGGGGCCGCACGCCCGGGCCCGGCTGGGACTCTGCTCGGCCGGGACTGCCCGCGTGCCCTCCTCCCAGGGGCATCCCCGGCAGGTCCCAGTGCCCGTCTCTGGACCGCTGGCTGTGGGGCGTCGGGAGGCGGCCGGCCGGGCGGGCGGGAACCTGGCCGCGGGCACGGACGTTTCCTCGGGGCAGCGGTACAGCTGCCGCTCCCAGCGCCGGGTGCCCGGTGATGAGGGGTTTGGGGTGCGGGGCTCCGGGACGGGCTGGGGACTCTGCCACGTGACGGGGGACCCAGTGGCGGGCGGGGCGTCATGCGTCCCGCCTCGGGCTGCCCCGCAGGACCGGGTCATGTTCCGGAGCCGCCACCGGGACAACATCTGCCCGCTCGCGTACTCCTCCTGCCCCGGGATCAGGACCTCCGACCACCGCCCTGTGTACGGCCTCTTCCGGGTCAAAGTGAGGCCGGGCAGAGACAAGTCAGTACCAACCGGCCTGTCCCTCGGGGCGCGGGGCTGGCCGGGGCAGGGCAGAGGGTGCCAGCTCTGGACATTGGCGCGGGCCGCGGCTCCGAGTCCTGCCTGACAGGAGCCGGGGTGCAGGCCACGCGGAGTCACGGCCTGGCGGACCTGAGCGGCCACCGCAGGGTCGGGACCTGGCCCGGCCCCCGTGCCCATGGCTGGCCAGGCCCGCCGATCTCCGGGCTGGCTCACAGCGCAGCCTGGAGCTGTGGGCGGGGCACCCTCGGGCCCTCCCCTCCTGACAGCCTCTCCCCCATAGCATCCCGCTAGCGGCCGGCAAGTTTGACCGCGAGCTGTACCTGATCGGGATCAAACGGCGGATTTCCAAAGAGATGCAGAGGCAGCAGGCCCTGAAGACGCAGCACGCCAGCACCATCTGCACCGTGTCCTGAGCGTCTGCCCACGAGGGCTGGCACCGCCACCGGGCCCCTGGCCAGGAGGAGGAGACACTGCGGGCACTGCGCAGCCTCGGGGGCGCTGAGCTCTGTCTGCGGCCGGGCCGGCGCCTTCCCAGAGGAACCCAGGGAACCGGTGCCACGGCGCCTGGACCGGACCGCTGCTCGCTCACACGTCTGACTCCCCGCGGACACCCAGTGTCCTCGGCAGCCGGGGCTCAGGCCCGGGGGCACCCGCCTCCCGCCACCGTCTCCCCGACGCCGAGCCGCACTCGGCAGCGTCCGCCTCTCCATCCTCCGGCCCCTCTGCACGCCTGGCCTGGCTCCATGGAGCTGCTTGGTGGGGTGACTGGGTCCCCAGTCCCACGGCCTGTGCTGGGACCAGGCTGAAGCCAGACGTCCAGGGAGCGAGCGGGTCCCCATTGCTGGGCGGGATGAGGTTGTGGCCGGGACGGGGGTATGGCCAAAGTTTCAGGGCTGGCCCTGCCCTCCAGCCACATCCTGCGGCCGAGTCTCCGGTGGTGGTGGTGGTGCTGGTGGTTGTGGTGGCGGCAGTGCATTTGCCAGCCAGAGAGGCTGCTGGAAGCTCAGGCTGGCACCACGACTGGGTTTCACGGTGTGTGGGTCCATCTCTTGAAAGGCGTTAAGCTTGGGATGTGGGGAAACCCAGAGCATCACGTCTAGTCTTCTCAATTATTTATTTTCCATATTTATATTTTAAATAAATGCACATATCGAGTCTTTAATTCTTTCTGGTCAAAGTGAGTCCTAGACACAACCCGTCCTCACCAGGTGCTGGTGTGAAAAGGCAGGGGTGCTCTGGGCTGGCGGCTGACGGCGCCCCTCAGCCGCCTGCCACCTCCCCTGGGCTTGCTCTGTGCCCGCCCCGCCCGCCCCTGCCACGTCAGTGAACACTCGGTGAGTCCTGGAGTCTGTTCCCACGTGTGTCCACTCGGCACCAGCCGCCTGCAGCAGCGTCCAGGAGAGCTGTCGGAGGCGGCCGGCAATCCCGGGCTGCAGGAAGCCCTGTGGGCGTGAGAAAGCCGAGCGAACGTGCCGCTGGGTCTGTCACTGAGAATCTTACGAAGGCTGTGGCAGTAGGGATGGAAATGAGCAGTTTTATGTTCTTTCCAGGCATGGTCTGACCAAACCATGGAAGATTGTAACGTGACTGAAAATAGTTTGGCCCGAGATCTCGCTCTGTCTCCAGGGTGACCGTTATGCCCGGTAAGACCCTGGGTCAGAGATGATGGAACTCGCCACCAGCCGTGAGGATCTAGGTGGATGGAGTTCATGGGAAAATCGGGTAAAATTCGAGTGAGCGTGGCCAGTCTGAGGCCGGCTCCCCTCGCAGGCCGGATGCTGCCGTCAGCAGGTCGCTGTCCCTGGCGAGCAGAGGAGGGGGCGGCACCTGGGAACAGCTGCAGAGAGGGCCTGAGGGGGCTGGAGAGGTGGGGGAGGGAGCAGGAGAGGGTGGTCCCTGCTGAGGGGACTCGGTGCCCAGGGCCTGAGGGTGGCAGGGGACCCAGCAGGCAGAGAAAGCTGGCCAGTTTCTAAGATATGGGGAGTCGGCAGTTCCTAGAACATGTGCAAAGCTGCCAGGTCTCAAAGCGGCCCTGTCCCATCTCACCGTCCACGGCAGGCCCTGACCCCGGGCTCCCGCCCCGTGGACAGAGGGCCGTGGCAGGGGCTGTTGTGAAGGCAGCTGACAGGCCTGCAGAACAGTCGCTTGCAGACGGAAGTAACACGTACACGTTTATTTGGTTCCTCCAGTGCCCGATGGCCGTGCCAGGGGCTGCCCTCTACACTGCGGTGGCCCAGAGCTACCCGGGGGGACCGGGCTTCCCGTGGAACCTGGGCTTCTATGGGCGCTGGAGTCTCGGAAGCACACTCTACGGTCACAGAGTGTGACCTTTCCCCCCTGAACTACAGCTCGTCTCCCACCTAAAACGCAACCGCCGACCAATCCCAAGAAGGCCCCTCCCCCCCCGCGCGGGCACCTGGCATCAGAACCCCCTTCCGATGGAAGGGCACGCGGGGGAGGGGCTGGCACTGCCCGGCCTGCACCTCTAAAGCCGGTCCCAGCCACGGTGAGGACGACAGCGCACCTGATCACGTCGCAGACGGCCCAGGCGGAGGCAGCCTGCCCGGGCCGGGCCCTGGCACTTGCGAGGAAGCGGGGCCGTGTGGTCCGCGACGGCACACGCAGTGCCGAGGGCGCCGAGCTCGGCCGCGTCGGCGTGCGGTTCAGTGCGGAGCAGAGCCCTGGGTTTGCAGCGCTCGGAGTTCCTGCGCCAAGTTCAGCTCCGGAGAAACGGGTCGAGCAGCCTCTACCGGAAGAGCCGGTAGGTGCGGGGCAGGCGCCCGTCTCTGCTGGTCAGCGCCGCCTGGATGTGCTCGTAGCTGGGCAGGTCACTCAGGTCCCCCAGGGCGGCCACGGCCGGCTTCCCGCGCAGCATCTTGGAAGCCACGCGCTTGATGTCCTCCGGCCTCACGTCGCCTGGCACAGGGGACAGGGACGGGAAGGCCGTTGGCCCAGGCCTCCACCCGGGAGGAGCGGGGCCCGGAGGCCCGGAGCCACTGTGTGCATTCCCGTGAGGGAGGGCGAGGACAGCGGGCTCTGCTTTGCTTCCTGATGGGGAGATGTCCCCCAACAAGAAGTGGGGAGGAAAGAGCCGGCGGATCAGCCCAGAAGGAAGCCCTCCCGAGTGCATGGCTGAGGGAGGAAGGCGGCAGAGGCCGCATGCTGACCTGGCCGAGAGGCTGGGAGCCGCCCCCGGCCAGGCACCAGCAGGGAAGACGAGGCAGGGGAAGATGGAGCACTGTCCTTCTTGAGGGCCTGGGGACTCCCACCCGGGGCACTACGAAACCGCCGGCTCCACACCTGCGCCCCCCTCAGGACAGCGTGCTGACCCTCGGGCCACAGACCCCTTGGGAGTCAGAAAACGGCTCCCAGAGCCGCACCAGCCGTGACTCGGGCCCTCGGAGGACGGTCAAGCCCCTGGAGACCACGTGAGGCCACGACACCCGCCAGCTGCGAGCCCCGGGGCCCGTGCCCGGACTCACGGATGAGCGCGCACAGCTCGTGGGGCAGCTTCCTGGAGCGGGTGGCCAGCACCTGCCTGCCCACGTCCTCGAAGATCACGGGCCGGGCCTCCAGGTTCATCATGAGCATGGACATGAGCTGCGTCTTGGCCCGCTCCAGCTCCACCTGAGGGCGAAGCCGTTGTGCGTCAGCCGCGCCCCAGCCACCGAGCGGTCAGGGAAGTGTGTCCGGCCCAGCTCAGTGCTGAGGCAGACGGCTCCCTAGTGCCCTCCTCTGCCCATCCGCTCCCGGGCCACGCCGAGGGGACGGCTCAGCCACCAGCTCCGTTCCGGGAGCCCGGCCCGGATTCGAGGACAGAGGCAGCGGGAGGCAGGTGCCCGATGGCGCTGGGACCCCAGGCTGCGTAGAGCGAGCACGGGCAGACTGGCTGGAAGCTGTGGCGTTGAGTGAGTTCAGGACAGGGGGCGTCACGTTTGCACGCGGGCCCATCCTGAGCGGCCTCAGCGGCCTCCGTGGGGTAGACCGCCTGCCCAGCAGGGCAGTGACTTGCACACCTTTCGCTTGAAGTGAGGCCTCTGTTTCTCTGCTGAAGGCAAGGGATCATGTGACGCTACAGTAAACACAGGACCACAGAAAGCATGCTCTGAGTTGAAACATGTGCAGCCCCCCCGAGGCACAGGGCCTGAACGCTGGGCTTGGCTGGTACTTGTGTGCATGTGTGTGCACGCATATACAATCTGCTACTTGTGCCAGTTCGGGGCCGGCAAGTAACGAGGCTAGAGCCCGAGGAACTGAGAGGAGAAAGCCGGGAGGCGTGCAGGGCTGCCCATGGGGCTGCTCTGACCTGGCTGCGGGCGGCGCGAGGGCCTGCCTGTGCCCGGCATTCGTCCCAGAGCTGAGGACCTCAGGCAGCCAGGGGTAAGCAGACCAGGTGCCGTGAGGACCAGCAGGGTCCCCGCGGGACAAGCTCAGCCTTGGATGGGGTCACGGGAGTTGGGGGTCACCGTGTTGGGGGTCACGGTGTTGGGCACAGAGGCTGGCCGCCGGCGTGGTGGGAGGTGGGGAAGGCACCTTGCCATACTTACCACATCCACGGTCCCGCCCATTAAAATGAACTCCTTGGTGATGATCTCCACCATTTCTCTAACCTGCGCGGGAGGCGGGAGGCTCTGAGCGCTGTTCACAGCTAGCCTGGGACGCCCCGCAGCCCCGCCTCACCGGCCCGGCTCACCTGTCGGGGGGCTCACCTGTCTGGGGTCGGCGCTGGCGTGGATGCACAGGAGCCCCGTGTCCTCATAGCTGTGGTGGTAGGCGGTGGCGTTGTACATCCAGTGGTGCCTGGCGGACGGAGAGGCCCGAAGGTGGCAGGTGGCCCGCGGCCGCTTAGCGGGCCTGGGGCCGGGGAGGCGGGGGCAGGGGCAGGGGCAGGGGCACTCACCGGTTGAGCACGTTGAGGTAGAGCCGCGTGAACATGCCCTTGCCGGGCCCGCCGGCCGAGAAGGAGCCTCCACCGCCCATCATCATGTTGAGCACGGCGAAAGGGATGAAGTCGGCCTCCTGCGGGGAGGGGGCGGAGCTCGCAGGGCGCACTGGGCGTGCCAGGCCAGGGGCGCGGGGCGGCGGGGCCTGCAGACTCACCAGGAAGGAGCAGCTCTCCAGCCCAATCATGATGTGCGTGAGCTCGGGGAACGGGGCGGGGCCCAGGCTGACCTTGGACATGTCTCTCTCCAGCTGTGACCGGAAGAACGAAGTGGCCCAGGCTTCGCCGTCTCCTCGGCCACATCTACCCACAGCCCACCCCCCGCCCCGAAGCTGCCGCCACCCAGGCGCTCTGTGGGCTAGGGGGCGGTGGAGGCACAGCCACGAGGGCGGCTCCCTGAACTCCGGAGGTCACAGACCACAGCCCAGGCCGCGGCCTCCGGCCCGCACCTTGACAACGCCCCCGGTGTACTGCGCGACGGAGCGGTCCACGTCCACGGCGGCCCCGCTCCCCCAGGCCGGCCGGGCGCCCAGGAGGTACTTGCGGGCGCACTCCACCAGGTGCTCGTGCTCGATGCCCACGCCTGCCAGCACCATGCGGTCCGGAGTGTAGTAGTTCCGCAGGTAGGAGTGCAGCACGGCCCGGTCCATCTTCGCGATGTTCTCCGGGGGGCAGAAGCGGTGGAGGCCGACCGTGTTCTCCCTGTAAGCGGCCTGCGGAAGCGGGGAGCACGCGTGACGGAGCGGGCCCCAGGCTCCGAGCCTGGCCCCCGCACCCCCCTCCGCTGGCCCGGCCACAGGACGCCCCCTGTGAGTGAGACCCTCCTCCAGGACAGTCACCCGGACACACAGGCTCCCTCGGTGGAGGGGAGCCTGGTCCTGCGGGGGCGGGCGGCCTGGAGCTCCCTCACCTCGTGGATCATCTCGGTGAGGAGAGGCTCCGGGTCCGGCCGCATGTTGAGGTCCTCCAGCTCAAACTGGACAGCCAGCCGCGCCATCTCTATCTCCTCCTCTGCGGAGGCACGAGACCAGGCTCAGCCCCCAGGCCCGCAGCCTGGGCCAGCGTCCTCCCTCCGCTTCCTCTGGGGCAGGCCCGGGGACATGTGAGCGAGGAGAGCGCCCCAGCTGCCACCTGGCCCTGCTCCGAGCCGGCCCTCCGCGCGAGGCACGGACCCCGCGCCTGCCCCAGCGGGTGAGGAGGTGGGACAGTGGGCGGCGGTGCTGAGGGGACAGGCCAGAGCCCCGAGCGGAATGCAGCTGTCAGACCAGCTGTGACGGCGCTGTGGCTGCCCTGCGCCCGCAGGGAGCCAGTCGGCCACTCTCGGGCTGAGGAAGGGGCCGGGCCAGGCGGTGAAAGGCATCCGCCCGAAGGAACCTGTTTGCGAGCGCGTGAAGGGTGCCGGCCGGTGTCTCGGAGCATCAGCACTTCCAGTAACACTGCGCCAACTCAGGGCAGGTGAGAGACCTCCGAGGACACATGCGTGTCCCATGGGCAGGGCTCCCGCACCCCGTGTCCCGGCTGGACACCCACCTGTGAGCCGGGGGTGCAGGACCACTTCAGCCAGCAAGCCCACCACCGTGTCCAGGCCTTTGGAGTCGGCGGACACCGCGTACATGGTGGTGTCCCTGCGAAACACCAACACCGGCCCTGAGGGCAGGAGGCACCGGCCTCTCCCGTCGCGGGCAGACCGCGGGCAGCGGCAGTGCACAGCCTGCGCCGCGTCGAGCCCCTTTCCGTGTCTGCGTCTCCCGCGTGAACCGACTGGCCAACGTGAGAACCAGCCGTGTCAGGCTTCCTGGCATTCCTTCCCTGAGCCAGACCCGGTCAGCTGCCGGCCCCACACCCCACGCCCTTGGCTCCTGTGCCATGGCCTCGAGCCTCCAGGGACAGGGCTCCCCTGGGGAACCACCTGCCCTCTGAGTGTTTCCCCCCTCTGCCCAGCCGGCGGTCACTCAGCGCAGCCCGCCGGCCTCTCTGAGGCCGTGCGGGAGCCTGACCTGGACGCCTGGCAGTCGCAGATGCCGCCGTGCCTCTCCAGGGTGTGCAGGATGCCGTCCTTGCTGTCGAAGCGGGCTGTGGACTGGGGAGACAGGGAAGGACCAACAACCCTCAAACACAGCTCCTAGCACGTTTACTTCCGCTTTCAAAGCGACACCACGTTAAGTGACGTCTTATTACCGTTAACTCAGCAACTTAACCACTAATGTGTAACCGCTGTAAAAAAGCAAAACTACGTAAGTTCTCCCCAACTACAACTCAAAATTCACAAACTGGACACTGACCGAAAAGGCCAACTTTTCCAAGAAGTGAGCGATTCCACTCAGGTATTTTGCTTCATATCTTGATCCTGAGTTAATAAGAACTGGAAAGGAAGTTGACAGGTCAGATCACTTTTCAAAACGACGGCTCGCACAAAAGACGTTTTCCGTGAAAACTGTGAACGTGACTGGACAGGGGTCACCCGGGTGTGAGGGTCCGCTCTCGGCTAGCCGGTGAGTCTGCGCTTACGAGCCGCTGACTCCGGTTACCGAACGGGAGGAAGGGGGGAGCCGCCCGAAGGGCCCGGCGGGCACTGCGGTGCCTCGGTCTCCTGACTCTCCAGGGCTTTCACTCGGAAGGACCCTGCGCCACCCCAGGGCACTCACTTCCCACCGTGCAGAACTGCCCGAACTTGTTCTGGGAGGCCACGCGCAGCCCGTTCTCCAGCGTGGTGACTTTGGTCTCAAACTTCTCCTGGCTGTCGACGGTGGCAAAAACGGGCGTGGGCACCCCGGGCAAGGGGGCAGAGAGCGGGATGTTGGGGTAGGCGCCCCCACTGCTGAACTGTCTGTACCCAGGGGCCCCAAACCTGAAAAGGAGAGGTCGCCCAGTGAGGGGTGGAACCCGTGGGGCCACGTGGGCAGCGTTGTGTCTGCTCTGACCGGCAGCGCCCCCTGTGGAGAGGGTCTGTGCTGCCCGCCCCGGGGGCCCCGGGGGCGCGGCAGGTCCTCCTCTCTCCCAGGGTCGCCCCGCGCCTCGGTGAGGGTCAGCGCGGGTCACAGCAGCCCCTCGGGAGCGCGGCCGGCCCGGCCTGGCAGGACCTGGGCTCCAGGTCCGTCCGCCGACCCCCTCCCGCCCCAGGCCGGTCACAGTGGCGGGCCGGCCGCTCCACGCACACACGCGGCCACAGCCCCAAAGCTCCCGGGTCGCCAGCCCGTCCGCACGGCCGCCCTGTCCTCGCCCCCTCTCCCCGCTGAAACGTCCCCTCCGAGAGAAGCCGCCTCCGCCCGAGCCAGGCTCCACGCCATCGCGGCTGGCTCCGCACACGCGGGCCGCAGGCGCCCGCCGCGCCGGGAGCGGGACCAGGGCGGCCGCCTGCCGCCGCCGAATGGACGTGCCGGGCGGCCGGGCGGCCGCGGGCGCGGGCTCCGAGGGGCGCGCGCGGCAGGAAGGGGCCGGCGGGGACGACGCGGACCGGGAGCGGACGGCGGGAGCCGACCCCGCCGCCGGGACGGAGCGGCGGATGGAGCTCGGGGCGCGGGTCCGCAGCGCCGGGCAGGGAGGCGCCCCCGGGGCCAGGCCGGGGCCCCGCTACCCGAGCCCGCCCGCCCGGCGCCGCGTCTGGGCGTCCGGGGACCAGAGGCCGCGGGCCCCGAGGGACGCCGGCCACCGCGGGCCCCGGCCGAGCCCCAGGGGCCCCCCGGACCGCCCCGGCCGGCCCTCGCCTCACCGCAGCCGCGAGCGGCCCCAGGCGCGCGAGCCCCGCAGCAGCCGCGTCGCCGCCAGCACCACCGCCGCCATCTTGGGTCTCCGCCCCTCGCTTCTGGCGTCACTTCCGACTCCGCCCTCCGCGCCCCGCCCCCCCGACGCCGGCCGCTGCCGTTCGGGCGCCCGCTTCCGGTGCGCGGAGCGGAAGCCGCGGCGAGAGGCTGGGAGCGGCGGCCGAGCGGCGGGCGACGGGGGCGGGGAACTCGCGCCGCGGCCGGGGCGGAGCCGGAGCCATGGAGCCGCCGCTGCCGGGCTAGGGAGGGCCGGCGCCGCCGGGCCCGCGGCCATGTCGGGCTATGCGCGCCGCCCGGGCCTGTCCCCGCTGTCCCGGGCCCGCAGCCTCGTCATTCCGGACGGTGAGCGGCGGGCGGCCGGCGGCCGGCGGGCGGGCGGGCGGGGAGGGCGGCCGCGCGGACCCCGGGCTCCGGCCCCGCCGAGGTCCCGGGAGCGGGCGCGGCGCGGCCACGTCGCTCTCATTGTTGTTGCAGCGGCGGCGTTCTCCGAGCGCCGGGCCGGGCTCCCCCAGCTAGACTGTGAGCGCCCCCGCGGCGGGGACCCGGACCCCCGCCTCTTCGGCTTTCGGCCGACGTTTATGTGCTATGTGCCCAGCCCGGTGCTCGCCTCCGTGGGAGACACAGGTGAGAGACGGCCCTCCAGGCTGGGGCGGCCCCGCGGAGCCCGCACTCACCCCGGGCCCAGCGGTGAGCACCGGGGAGGCGAAGGTGGAGAGTCCTGCCGCTGGGAGCTCACAGTCTGGTCTTGGGGAGACCCTCCCCCCAAAAAACAGACAGTTCCGATGTAGGATGGCAAGTGCGGGAGCCGGGGGAGGAGGGCGGCACTCGTTCACCCATTGTCCCCCGCAGCTGCCCCGCCTGCGGCGAGCGGGCGGTCACAGGGGCGGAGAGGCTGGGGCACGCCGGGCCTTGGGACAGGGCGCAGGCAGGAGGGCATGTGCACCCCGCTGCTCCAGGACCTCGGGGAGCTTTCGCAGCACCCCGGGCAGGTTCCCCCGGGTGAGAAGCGCCACGCTGAGGCCGTGTGGGGACGCGGGGTCGCCTCGGGTCCCTGTGACCACAGGGTGACGGGGTGTCTCTGCAGATTTTATCTACGGAAAGGGGAAGGGCACTAAGCCAGGCCCACCAGGAGCCCAGCAGATACACTTTGGAGGTAGAGTACTTCGGTAATCCCTCCTTCCTCTCTCTGCCCGAGAGAGAACCTGGAGGTCTAGGTCCACGCCAGGGGCAGGGCTGTCCAGGCAGCAGCCCCACCTGCCTAGTGCACCGTAGCGGCCACAGCAGGCGGGGTGGCACCCCCGGGTTGGATCCTGGCTCTGGGGTAGAAGAAAGCAGGGTACCACCCGAGGCCTGAGGGATGGCAGGCAGGTGGGAGTCACGCCTGGGAGCCTGAGAGGCCCCGGGGCTGGAATCAGGGTGCCAGCGCCACACAGGGTGGCACCGGGGCTTGGGTGGTGGGTAGACTGAAAGGGCCACCGTGTGGCAACAGGTGGTGGGACAGGGAGAAGCAGGGAGAGGAGAAGGAAAAGGAGTGGGTGAGTCGGGGAAGGGCGAAGGGGGCGGGAATTCTCAGCTTGGGGGAGGAGGGTGGCCTTTGGAGCTGGGCACAGCCTCACCCACGCGGTCACTGCGCCAGAGGTGTGCGAACACGGGTGGGGTGGGGTGGGGTGGGGTGGAGAGGAAGCAGAGCCGTGTCTTGGGCCGGCGCTGAGCTCTGGGGCAGCGACTCGAGTGGCTTCTCCACTTCAGGGGCGTGTGTCCGGGAAGAGAAGGGAACGGGGTCCCTCGGACAACCTCAGGGGACTTCACACGGAGGGTTTGTCCTGTTTCAGATGAGAAGCTTGCGGACCTGGAGGAGGCAAACCCATTCTCCTTTAAAGAGTTCCTGAAAACCAAGAACCTCAGCCTGCTGAAGGAGGACACGGCCAACAGCAGGCTCCACACACAGGTACCGCCTCCCGCCTCCCGGCAGCGCGGCCGGCTCCGATCGTGCTCCTGGGAGAGGGCGTGCGGCGGGGGGAGTGGGAGGCGGGGGGCACCTTCCTGGCTGGACGATGCCCCCCCCCCCAGCGCCTGTGGACGGCGGCAGGGCCTGCGCCTGCTCCTGGCTGAGGCCCCCCGCCTGCCCCTCAGGAAGCCACGAGGCACTCGCTGGGCCTGGACTGCGGCTCTCCGCCCTCCCAGGCCATGGGCTTCGGCCTGGAGTTCCAGCAGCCGTTCTTTGAGGACCCGACGGGGGCTGGCGACCTCCTGGACGAGGACGAGGACGAGGACGGCTGGCATGGCGCCTACCTGCCGTCCGCCATGGAGCAGACCCACGCGAGGGGCCCGGCCAGTGCGTCGCCCAGCAGCACGTACATCTCCTTCTTCTCCAGCCCCTCGGAGCTGGCCGGGCCCGAGTCCCTGCCCCCGTGGACGCTGAGCGACTCCGACTCCCGCCTCTCCCCTGCAGCGAGTCCCGGGGCAGACTTCGCCGGCCACGGAGAGTGCCTGGGGGACAGGCACCTTCGGACGCTGCAGATGAGCTACGAAGCAGTAAGTGAGGCTGCGGGCCGGCCCCGGGAGCCGCTGTGTCTGGCTCGGATTCTGGCTCCAGGACAAGACAGCCTGGCGCAGTACCGGCATCTCCAGGGAGCTCGCTGCTGGGCTGCCGGTGCCCGGGGACAGCGGGGTGCGGCTGACAGGATGGGACCGAGCGGAGCTGGGACCTTCGGGGCTGCCCACAGGGGTCGGCTTGAGCGCCTTGCCAAGTGTTCTGAGTCGAGGAAAGTCTTGGAGACTTTAAAACAGCCTAAAAGCCGGCTGTGTGAGTAGAGCAGGAGTCTGACCTTGGCCCTGGTGGTGCCCTTTCTCTGCCAGTGTCTGGGGTCGGCTCCAGGGCATTCCTGATGTCCGAGCAGTTCCCAGGCCACAGCGTGCGCGCCGTGAGGGAGACACGCCGAGGGCCTCATGGGATTCCCTCTCTCCGCAGCTGAAGGACGAGAACGCGAAGCTCAGGAGGAAGCTGACGGAGGTGCAGAGCTTCTCGGAGACGCAAACTGAGATGTAAGCCTTCGGTTAGGGCCGGGCCAGGTGGTGGACGGGAGCCTCGAGGGGCTGGGTTCTGTTCTGTCGGGCCTTGGCAACAGACGTTTCCCCTGCTGTGTCCGTGTATTTCAAACGTCCTGGTGAGGCGGCAGACTGTCAGACCCCTGAGGGCCCATGGCTGGTGCTCACTCTGACCCGCTGAGGGTGTCACCGCCCTGCACCTCGCTGACACGGCTCGTTCCAAACAGCGGGCACGGGTGCCATTGCCGAGTGGCCACGCGGTGCTCTCTGACAGGGTGAGGACGCTGGAGCGGAAGCTGGAAGCCAAAATGATCAAGGAGGAGAGTGACTACCACGACCTGGAGTCTGTGGTCCAGCAGGTGGAGCAGAACCTGGAGCTGATGACCGTACGCACGGGTGGGCAGGCCTTGAGGCGGCGGCGTGTCATTGGTCACCGCAGCCGCAGGGAGCGGGGCGGGCGTCTGGGAGGTCCCCGCATGGCTGCGAGGCATCGGGCGGAGCGCTGGGCGAGGCCGATGCCATCCGCCTGCCGCTGAGGCGCTGCTTGTCTCCTGGTGACAGAAACGGGCGGTGAAGGCAGAGGGTCATGTCATGAAACTGAAACAAGACATAAGCTTGCTTCAGGTAACCGGGGGCCCAGTGTCCATCTGTGGGTTCGAGCGACTCCTCTGGTGGGCTCTTCCCTCCCCACGGACGGGGCAGACTCCCCCGTGCAGATGGAGGCCGCGGCTCGGTCTTCCCGCCCGCCCTGCTCCCTGGGCCGGTGCCAGGACAGACGGAGCAGGGCACGTGGGAGCCAGGAGGAAGGGCCTGTGGGGGCCGGGCCCCCCTCCCGAGGTGCCTGTCGCGTTAGGCGGACAGCGCGGGGCTGCTCCCTGTTCACCGTAAACTTCCCGCCGCTCCCGCCCAGGCGCAGGTCTCCAACTTCCGGAGGGAGAACGAGGCCCTGCGCTCGGGCCAGGGCGCCAGCCTGACGGTGGTGAAGCAGAACACGGACGTGGCCCTGCAGAACCTGCGCATGGTCATGAGCAACGCGCACACCTCCATCAAGTGAGCGGCGGGGGCGGGGCGGGCTCTGCCATCTCAGAGTGAGCACGCCCACCGCGCACAGTGCAGCTCGGGGCTTGGATGGGGTGTGCTTGACGGCCCGTGGACCCAGGTCACAGCGTGTGCGCGCCAGCAGGCTCCCCCGTCCTGCGTGGCGATGGCTGTTCCATGTGAGAGGCGTGGGTGTTAAGGCGAATCCCGCCCCGTGTCTCCCCTCCCCCCGAATTGCTCCGTGAGCTCCTAGGAGACAGCAGCGGGGTCTCTAACAGTCCTCACTTTCCTCCCACTGGCTGAGCTGCTGGCAGCCAGCCGGGTGACAGCGCGGGTGCTCCAGTGGGTGGCGCCTGATGCTCTTGGGGGAGAGCCTCCGCCTCGGGGACCTGCGCTGGTCTCCGCTGTCTGCTGGGTCCCTCGGGTTATGCTGCCGAGTGTAGCCGCAGCCCCTGATGCCGGTGTTCTCCTTGCAGGCAGCTGGTTTCCGGAGCCGAAACGCTGAACCTTGTTGCTGAGATCCTTAAGTCCATAGACAGAATCTCTGAGATCAAGGAGGTCGGGGAGGAGGAGTCTTGAGAAGCTTCTAGTTCACAGCTCTGTTTACATCCTGCAGTCACCGCTCCCTGGATGTGAAACGCCATTGTGTCCTTAAACACGCAGTCTTCCCAGTAAAGCTGTTTATTGCGAGATGCTCCTTTCCTGACTGAGAACAGTATTATTAGCTCCGAGGGAGGAGCGGTGGAGCAGTGAGCGTCCCCGAGGTCTGTCCCTGCGGCCCCTGCTCCGGGGGACCCCTGCAGTGAGACGTGACCCCCTGGAAGACGCGTCTGTAAAAGCCACCGCTGGTTCTCAGGGCTGAGCACGGAGACAGCCACTCTGTGCTACAAGTCTTCCATCCTTGTTCCAGAACACTGTAAGATACGTTCGATCGATTGTCTTTGATTTCACCAGTAAATGAAACACTAAATGAGCCGAAATCAAACGATTGCCATGGACAGGGCCTCGTGCCTTTCCGCCTTCGCTCGGCAGCCTCGGGGGCGGCCCTGTGGCTGGCGGCCCGAGTGTGCGCGCCCCTGGTTGGATGCTGCTTTCCTGTAGGGACCAAGGTTGGCACGGATTCTACACTGTGAAGCCATCGGAGCGCACCTCGGAGGGGGCCTCGGGCTGGAAAACGTGGATGGAGGGTTTTGATACACGATCCAAGCAGCCTTTTGTAATGAAGTCGAATCCCGAGGACGCGCAGAGCCGCCTGGTAGCACAGTCTCCCGCTGCCGTTCCAGGCACTTCTGACTGGGGGAGGCGCGCCCTGCGCTCAGTGCCTTGTGGCTGTTTCCTGCAGATGTTATTTTTTAAAATAAATGTTCCCTCCTGTTCAGATTGACAGCTTTCTTAATAAATTCTAAAATGCACACGCTTCGGCCCCTTTTCCTGCCTCAGTCAGCTCTTCATGCTTGAGAACCGTGCCTCCCGCACCCCAGGGGGCACCTCCCGCACCCCAAGGGGCATCGTGTCCCTGTCCTGGGGGGTCTGCGGCCTGGGGAGCTCGGACTCGTTGGTTCTGGAATTGGAGCCTTCTTGGAGATCATGTAGTTGAATTTTCAAAAGATGATTAAACTGATAGACTTTATGATCTTGGCTGCAGGGAAGAGCCTTCCAGAAGTCAGGGTGAACCACCCTCAGCTCACTGCCCGCCTCGGGCTCCAGCCGGCGGTGCAGAGTGGGTGCTGCCAGCTCAGTGTCCTCTGTACACACAGCAGCGCTGGGAAACCACAAAGGCAGGGCCGCCTCGGGGGGGCCCCCCGCGGGAGAGGCACAGCATTTTATGGGGGCGGGTGATACACAGCAGAACACTAGCCGGGTGCCCCAGCCCAGAGTGCTGCGGTGCAGAGGGCAGGATGAACACAGGCTCTCCTACCCCATCTTCTCTGTATCCTGTGAAGTGTTCCCCAGGAGAAGCCATGAACATACAGGTCACATGACCAAGTTGTTGACCCTCAGCCGCTGGGTCGCTGCCAGGGGGCTGCCTGGGCGGCAGGTCTGCTGCTGTAGGAGCCGCTCTTGGCTCTGCCCTTCCAGGGCTCACCTTGAGCGCAGGCTGATCCACTGCCTCACGGGGAGACCAGCTCCCCTCCCCTCCCAAGACCCTAGTGTTAGCTGCCCCAGCACATACACTAAGATTGGCCCATATAGAGAAGATTAGCGTGGCCTCTGTGTAAGGAAAACCCGAAAGTCCGTGAAGCATTCCTAATTAAAAAGGAGATAAGACTTGTCCCGCCCACGCAGTCCTGCCCTGCCCTGGGCCTGACACCCTCTGACCTCTAGGTGTGCAGACCCAGCTTGGCCTGGGCCACCCCAGACTTGGCAGGTTTCCTCACTGGTCACTGTGGCTCATCCAGAATCCTAGGCCCAACTCAGAGGAACGGAGCCAGGCGGTACCGCCTGGGTCCCGCGCAGCCCCTGTGGGCTGCGGACCAGGTCCCCCTCCACAGCCCGCCCACCCGCCCCGCTGGGCGGCCTGCGCACGCGGGCAGTGCCGGAGGCGGCCGCATGGGGCAGCACCGGCCCGCCGCCGCCCAGGGCCCCTCCCGGCGTCCCGCGCGCCTGGAGCGAGGCCTCGGAGGCGGGACTTCCGGCCCGCGGTGTCCGAGTCGCGCGGCTGCCGGAAGCGCGGCGGCGGCGGGTGCGGGCCGGGCCGCGGAGCGCCGGGTGTCGGCGGGTAACGGTGAGCCGGGCGCCCTGGGCGGCGACGGCTGCCTCCGGCGGGCGGGGCCGACCCCGTTGCTTTCGGCGCTCGGGCTGCCCCGCGCCCTCGGCGTCGCCCCCGCCGGTGCGGGTTCCCCGCCGCCTCCCGCTCCGGCTCCGGGCCGGTGCCTGTCCCCACAGGCGTCCGCTCCGAGCGGCCCCCGCGGGTTCCGGCCGCGGGGACCGGGCCCGGCCGCCTGCTCTCCTCCTCCCCGGCCCCGGCGCCCGCGGCTGCTGTGGGGACCGGCGGGCACTGGGTGCTGTGGTGCCCGCCACGCCCCCGCCACGTGCAGCCGCGGCCCCGGAGCGGCGGGCCCTGCAGGCGGGGCCGGGGAGGGCGCCGGTCCAGCTCCGCCGCCCCTGCAGGCGCGCGGTCCGGAGCAGCGGGGTCCCCACTCCTCGCCTCTGACGTCGGCGCGTGTCCTTTGGAGGCAGGCCCCATGGACATGGACGCCCAGACAGAGAAGATCTCGCAGGAGATCCAGGCGCTGGAACGGATGTTGGGTTTGGACGAGGAGGCCTCCGAGTCCAGCCTCGGGTCCGATCCGGACTCCGACACAGGTGCGCCCCCGGGACGCGCCGCCTCTGCCCGGGCTCCTGTGGGCCTCACGGTGCTGCCGGGGCTAACGGTCCTCACGGTCACCAGACTCTGCTCCCGCCAAGGACAGTCTCTCCCTGTCCCTGTGCTCCAGCCCCTGGCCCTGCCCGGGTGCCCCCCCCCCCCCGCCTGTGTGGGCACCTGCGTCAGGCTGTGCTGGGAGAGCCCCGGGTCTGAACAGCCACCGCAGCTGAGCACCCCGTCCCCTGGCCCCCTATCCCATGGGTGCCCTGGGGCCGGTGCCCTCACGGCTCCTGCCAGAGGCCTGCCTTCCGCAGCCCCAGGGCCTCTGCTCCCTGTGGCCCCGTATCCCTGGCCTCTGTCTCTGCCTCACTGACTGGCCCGGTCCAGTCCCTGCCTCCTGGCCAGCGAATATGGCGCAGCTCCAGGTGCGGGCGGGGAGGGAAGGTCCAGCAGCCCAAGTCTCACCCTGAGGTCCCTCAGCCCTGCCCTGGTCGCCGGCAGCTGGGGGGGGGGGGGCAGTGCCACGCCGGCGGGTGGGCGCCTGTGGGGGCCCCTTGCCAGCCCATCTGTCCACGGTGGCCGCACAGTGTGCTTGTGTCCCCACAGGTTCGCTGACCCGCGAGGACTCCGCCTCCGCCTCCGCCGGTCCCCCGAGCTCGGTAACTCCCCCTGAGCCAGTGCTGGGTGGGCTTCCAGCGACACTGTCCTCCACACGGAACTCGTTACTGGGCTGGCGTGTGTCCCTCTGGCTCTCCTGACGCCGGGCACGGAGGGGGGCCGCGGGCCTCGGTCTCCCCGTCTGTGTGGGGGGGCGCCCACAACAGCATCCGGCAGGGCCTCACTCAGCCTGGCCACTGTTGGCTCTCCTTCGGGAGTTTTCTGTGATTTGGGGAAATTCGCCGTTTGCTTGTTTCTTCACCTCAAGAGCGGCGCTGCCTCCTGTCCGTCCGGCGGGCAGGCCCCTGAGGCCCCGCGTGGGCCCCGCCGCTGGCAGACTCACTGCCTTCCCACCTCCCGGCTCCGCGAGCGCCGCCACCGCCACTGCCGCCCCCGGTGATGGACCTCACACGGGCGTCCCCGGGGCCACATTTAGCAGAAACACTGTAGAACTGACCCCTTCCTCACACCCCCTTCCTAGAGACGGGAACGAGTTGTCGGGGGGCGGGGTCTCGGCCGGAGGGCGGGCGCCGGGGCCCCGCCTCCTCAGCCGGTCTCCGTGGTGACCAGGAGGAAGAGAGGTGGGATGGAGCCAGCGACGACGAGGAGGACCCGGAGACCTGCCTGCAGCTGAACATGGTCTACCAGCTGGTGCTCCAGGAGAAGCTGTCGGAGGTCCGCAAGCTGCTGGCCCAGAACCGGGAGCAGCAGGTAGGGGCGGTCCGGACCGCGCACCCGCCAGGCCTCAGGGAGCGGGCGGTTCTCCCACGGGCCCCTCGTGTCCGCAGGAGGAAGTCATGTGGGACCTGGCAGGGTCCAAAGGCCCCAGGGTGAAGGACGGCAAGAGCCTGCCCATGAACCTGTACATCGGGCACTTCCTGAAGCCCTACTTCAAGGACAAGGTCACCGGAGTGGTGAGTCAGTCCCAGCATCGGCTCTGAGGGGAGGGCATCCCACAGCCTGTCCCGAATTCCCATGTCTTCAGGGTGATGGTCTCCCACGTCCTAGCACCCTCCGGGCCCAGGGCAGAAAGTCGGGGCCTCCTCCTGGGAGGGGGCCGGCTAGCTGCTCCGGGGATCAGCCCAGGGGTGGCGGGGGAACAGCTCGGCAGGGCTGCCCGGTCCTGGCGGTGCGGGGCCCGGCATTGCTCGTGGCAGCCTTCCCCTCTTCGCCGCCCTCAGCAGTCCCTAAGCCCACCCTCTGCCCGTCGGGTGGTGCCTGGTGCCCAGGGAGGCAGCTGCTCCGGGGCCTGGCTGCTGGGGGAGGCGGAGGAGAAGGGTCCGGAGTCCGCACTGGGCCCCGTGGGAGCACACCCGATCGTGACGCCCGCACCTGACGGCCTGCTCTCGGACAGGGGCCCCCTGCCAACGAGGACACGCGGGAGAAGGCCGGCCAGGGCATCAAGACCTTCGAGGAGCTGCTGGTGGCTAAGTGTGAGGCCGTGCTCAGCACTGCGGCCCCCGCCCTCTCCTCACTCCCTCCTGGCCAGACACGGCCGGGCCAGGCTGAGCGGGGTCCTTGTGGGGACACCTCACAGTGGGCCCAGATTGGGGGGGCTGTCCTCGGCTTCCTCTGCCTGTACATGGGAGTCGGAGCTAACGGGTCAGGTCCTGGGAGGCCGCCCCGGCGGCCGCTGAGCTGTGTCTCCCCGCAGGGAAGAGCTGGGAGAAGGCCCTGCTCAGGAAGGCGGTGGTGAGCGACCGCCTGCAGCGCCTGCTCCAGCCCAAGTCACTGAAGTGAGTCTCCGCCTCTGCCAGGCCTCCTGCTGGTCCCCGGCTGCGGGGGACGCCAAGCCCACGGTTCTGGCTGACTCAGGCAGTGTCTCTGGTCTGGGCCTCGGTTTCCCCCTGTGAAAGTGGGGACCGTTCACGAGACCTGCTTTACCTGTGCGCTGATGGGGGGGCGTCACGTGACCATAGCACGGCACCTGTGGTCCGGCCAGGAGGTCCCAGGAGCCTCTGTTGCCTCACGCCTTGACGTGGCTCAGGGTCACCCGTGGTGGCAGTCACGTCCCTCGGCTGCGGGAGGCGGGCTTTCTCCCTGAGCTGTCCTGGCGCGGCTTGTGCGTGCGGGCTGTGACCACCCCAGGGTGCTGGCGAGGGCTCCGGGGGTGGGGCGGCCGCGGTGACCACCCCGCGGCTTCTGTGACAGCCCAGGGTGGCGCCGCGCTCTCCTCGGGCGTTCTCTGCGGCAGGAGCCGTGCCGCTTGGGGAGGGGAGCTAGCCAGCGGTTCGAACGCGGTGCCCTGCCCGGTGACCCCTCTGCCTGCCCGCAGGCTCGAGTACCTGCAGCAGAAGCTGAGCAAGGCCACGAGCGAGGAGGAGCGGCAGGCCCTGGAGAAGCAGAGCAGCAAGGCCGAGAGGGAGATCCACGCCATCCAGTGAGTGAGGTGCCGGGCGGCGTGGGCGGGGCGAGGGGCTGGCCTGACCAGAGCCCTCGCTTCTGCAGACAGCTCCCGGAGGAGGCCCTGCTGGGCAGCAGGCTGGACAGCCACGACTGGGAGAAGATTTCCAACATCAACGTAAGTTGGAGCATGCTCCACGGCCACCATCAGACCCAGCAGGAGCCGTGGCCAGTGCGTGGCCAGCACTGGGGCAGCTCTCGCCCCCACGCCCTCCCGTGCGAGCTCTGCTGAGGGGGGCGGGGCGAGTAGCTGCATTTAGAGCCCAGTCTGCGGTTTGGCTGCACTTGGCCGGCGCCGGATGGAGGCTGCCCCGCACGGCCGCCACCGCTGACGCTCCGCGGCGTCTGCAGTTCGAAGGCAGCCGCAGCGCGGAGGAGATCCGGAAGTTCTGGCAGAACTGGGAGCACCCCAGCATCAACAAGCAGGAGTGGACCCGGCCGGAGCTGGACCAGCTGAAGGCCGTGGCAGCCAAGCACGGCCACCTGCATTGGCAGAAGATCGCCGAGGAGCTGGGGGTGAGGACCTCCCAGGCCCGGGGGCGTGGGGGCCCAGGGGGCCGCGTGGGCACCGAGCTGAGGCGCAGAGCGTGGTTTGGGTGCCACCCCCACAGCGTCACCGTGACTCTCCTGAGGTGTTTTCTCTCCGAGAACGTCTGCTTGCTCTGTCGGCTGCGGGGGGTGGGTGGGGGGCATTGTGGGTTGTTGGTGCCCAGGAGCCCTCACCCATGGGCGCCTCCACTCGGCTGTGCCGGACGCCCGTGCACACGTGAGCCTGTAACCGCCTGCTTGGTGTGGCCGTGCAGACCCGCCGCAGCGCCTTCCAGTGCCTGCAGCAGTTCCAGCAGCACAACAAGGACCTGAAGCGCAGGGCGTGGACAGAGGCGGAGGA